ACTCCACCGGCCACCAGAAGGGAAATGATGACCTTTGTCTAAAGGAAACTACAGGAGGGGAGTTTAAGGTTTAGGGTTTAGGAAACTACAGGTGGGGAGTTTAGGGTATATAGGGCTTCTATAAGGCTTCCAGAAGGTATATAGACCTTCTTTAAAGCTATAACGGGAACTACCCACCTGAACATGTCCTAAACCTTTGGGATCTGGGGTTTAAGGGTTTTTGGGATGCTCAGAGTCAAATGTAGGGGCCTTAATCATTAGAATAGGGTCTTGGGGCCCGATAAACTATAATCATCATAAGGAAACCACAACATAATATAGGTACTTATTCAGAGCCCTACATTAGTAGGGGGTTCAGCTTCTTTTGGGTTTAGGGTTTGGTTTGTCTACGGCTTGGGGTTTAGGGATGTGGCGCCTTCATAAAATCAAATAGAACACTGGTGTGGGCTAACCTACAGCAAACTGGAGCAGGCCCCTGTGTTGTAAGTAACATCCCGAAGCTGAGTCGGGTGAGCGCCTAAAACGAGTAGACGAGTCTAAGCTCATCAAGCCTCTCGCACCCCTGCATGGAGTCGGTCTCTTTTATTCCGGAAGAGCGGTTCGGGGGTGAAGTCTCAATGGGTAAGGCTAAACCCTAAACCCTAAACCCATGTTCCACTTGGGATGCAGAGCTTCATGAGGTCGAGTTGCGACTAGTGTGGATGCCCGGAACAGGGCGGTTTAGGGGTTTTGGGGGGCTTGGGTATGGGGGTCTCAGATCAGGGGTTCCTTGTAACGAAAGAAACTACCGTGTAAGGCTCTATACTAGGCCCCCTTGTTTTCTGACACTCATTTTCCTGCTTAGGAGTGTAGGATGTAGAGTTTCGGCATGTGAGGTCGAGGAAGAACAAAGCTTCATAAGCAAGCGGTACCGAGCACAGACTGTGGCCTCTTCTGCGCAAACCCCAACATTCCTGTACCCTGGAATGCCTTGAATGCTCTCTCGCCCTAGATGCCCTAGATGTGCTTTATACTACATCCCAAGGTCCCCCAAAACCCCAAAGCCTGAGACCTAAACCCTAGACCTTGAACCACAAAGCCCCAAAGCCCCGAACCCTAAACCCTTAAGCTTCAAACCCTTTCATAAACCCCAAAAGCCCTCCAGTCCCTTCTAGGAGGTTTGGGGTTTAGGGTTTAGGGACATCCCTTGCAAGAGCCCCTAAACCCTACACCCTAAACCCTAAACCCTAAACCTTCAGCTGTTCGAGGGACTAAGCCCGGCGTCCAGTTCTGGAGTGTCGGGAAGTCTCGTGAGAGGTAGGTCAGCACCTCACGAGCTCCGACGCAACTTGTGGGTTTAGGGTTTGGGGTTTATGAGGGTTTTAGGGTTTAGGGTTTAGGGTTTAGGGCTTGGGGCTTATGAGGGTTTTAGGGTTTAGGGTTGGGTTGAAAGCCACACAGCCACCTAAAGACGAACAAAGCCTAAACACATACGTCTAAACCCTCGAAAAAAGCCCAAAAGCAACATCTAAACCCGAATAGAAGTGCTTCAGGACATCGGTAAGGTTAATCAGGATTTGCGTTTCCGGGGTTCAGCGATAAAGACTTTCGATCTATGTGCTCAAGATCTAGGCTTTAGGGTTCAGGGTTCTTGGGGTTTCGGGGGTTTCGAGATTTTGGGTCTGGGAGGACGGTGTAGGTTTCGGATTTAGGCACGTGGGTTGCGCCTGTGCGAGCTGGGGGGCTAAGGTGGAAGTCGTTGCACGCGCCCCTAAAACCCTAAACCCTAAACCCCCCATCCCAACATGTTCGATGGGTTGAGTGGGTTAACATCGACTTCTGGTCTGTGGCTCAGAGTTTGCTTTGGTTTAGGGTTTAGGGTTCAGGGTTTGGGGTACCTACGGTGGCTGGGCCGGAGTACTTACAAGAATGGCCCAGAAAGATGATAAAGACTTGTACAGAGCATCCACGGGCCGCCTAGTGCGTGCACGCCGTCGGTTCCTCCTTTCAGTGGCACATCTCCGGGATCCCAGGTGCATGCTCCCCCTCTAGTTCAGCCTCAATACTCACAAGATCTCAGAAGGGTTCAGGGTTCAGGAGGGGAAGTATTCTTACATCTGGATCTTGGTCGGAAGACAAAGACGTAGAAGCTACCCTAGACCCTAAACCCTACATCCTAAACCCTAAACCGGCTGTTTCGCTGGCTTATCGGCTGACCAAGCCCTGAACCCTAAAACCCCAAGTCTTCTTCAACTCCCCGGAGCCCTGAGACACTACATGTTGTTACATGAACCCATGGTTAACGGAAACTGCAGGTGGGGAGTTTAGGGTATATAGGGCTTCTATAAGGCTTCCATAAGGTATATAGACCTTCTATAAGGCTCCTATAACTGTAACTCCCCACCTGAAAACGTCCTATATAGACATGGCCTCGAGCAGAACAACACTACCGCAACTCCAACAAAGTGCTTCAATTCTGGGTTCTGGGAATCCTGAGTTTGGGGCCTGGGAGTAGTTGGCATCGTAACGGAGACTGTATACTTTCGCTACAGCCAGGTGGAAAAAACCCTAAACCCTAAACCCAAGAGGTCTGTCGGAACTCTCACGCAGAGTCGTACGTACAATCCAAAGCCTCGGATGTCTTGGATGTCAGGGCTCTGATTTCTGAGTCCGGTGGAAAAACCATACCCACCAAAGCTAAGCCTGTCAAACCCCTAAACCCTAAAACCTTCAAATCTCTGATCCCCCCAATCTCAACCACTTAAACCCTAAATCCTTCAAGCGCCTCGGTTTGAACAAACACCCTGAACCCTAAATCTTAAACCCTACAGCAAGTCTTTATCCCCAAGCCCTAGACCCTAAACTTCAAATCTTCGACCAAAAAATATTCAACCCTTAACCTTACCTTTAACCTGAAACCCACCAGGCCGAGACGCCGAGGAGGCAAAGTACATGGAGGCAGAGAGATAGCCTTTGCCAGGGTTTAGGGTTTAGGGTTTAGGGTTTAGGGGGCGTTGGAAGGGCTCCTGTAACGTTTCTTTGTAGTTCGGTGGTCTGGGCCTAAACCCTAAACTCTTGACCCTCAACTCTAGGGTGTAGGGTCTAGGGTTTTGAGCAGTCTAGGGGTTTTGGGCATAAGCGTTTCGTGTTCAGGTCTTAGAGTTTAAGGTCTAACCTTTTAATTAAGGCTTGAGGATTTTTGGGCTTTTGGGTTTCAGGGTGTATGGCTTAAGATGTGTTTGCCGGGTCAAGGACTGCTGATTGTTTGGCTCTCCGGGGTAAGAGCTGGGGATGATTGTGGATCTTACGCCCAGGGCTGGGCAATCTGTACTCGCCCCCTTTGCAGAACTGCTGAAGACCAAATTGGAAGGTTTAGGGTTTAGGGCTTAGGGGTTTAGGGTTTAGGGGTGAAGGGTTTAGGGGTTAAACCCTAAACCCTAAACCCTAAACCGTTTAGGGGTTCAGGGTTTAGGGTTCTGAAGCATCACTAAACCCCAAACCCTGAACAGAGCCAGAGCCTTCAAGCCCTTCAGCCCGAAAGTTGCAACGGAAGAAGTTGATAACGTAGGGGCCTTAAGAATTAAAGTAAGGTTTTGGGGTATATTATACTATAATTAGACTATGATGATACTTTAATTACACTATTATAATTATAACCAGAAGCCCCCAAGATAGTGTAGGAAATTTTTCAGGCCCCTACATTAACCCGAAGGCCCAGAGACCTACATCTTGGAAGCCTCCGAAAACTCCCTAATCCAGACGGAGAAAATCATCGCACCTTAGAAGATGGAGCAAGGTCTACTAGTGTTTAGGGTTTAGGGTCTAGGGTTTAGGGTTTGGGGTTTAAAAGGGTCTACCCCGCTCACCTAATCACCCAAGATACAAATGCTGTCTAGAAGACCTGATTCTCAAGTATACAGCCCTTTGCTTGGGCAAAAGCGACGAGCTTAGGCTTCTATGGTCCCTGATTCAGGGTGTAAAGATATTCTCGCCCCGCGGCATCCGTCATCTGGTTAGAAACAGTATACTGCACTGCTGAAGCCCATACTACTTACTCCTGACGAGGCGGAGGACTGGTGCAAGACAGTACTGTAGGGGGTTTTAGCTGTAGTTTCTGCTTCTGGAGAAAAAACAGCTGGCTTCACATGAAGATATGTGGAGTTCTGGGTGGACAAGCAGTATTGCTGTCGAGATGCCATTGTGATCCTTGAAAATCTGCTTTGATCTCACAATGCTCTGCCAGTACCTGCCGCAGGGCTGCGCCTTTGCAAAAAAAACTCCACGTGCTTTGGAATATGACAGTAACGCTCAACCCTGCGCTGCCCTGCACCCTCTGAACCTTTGAAAGTTCGAAAACGAAGGGTCCGGCTGCTACTCTCCCTGTTCCTGCTGTTCCTGCTGCGCACTCTGACAGCTAGTCCTGCTCCTGCGTCCACTCCTGCTGCTCCTTCTGCTGCTACTGCATCATCATCATCGTCACCATCGTCACCATCATCATCATCATCACCATCATCATCATCATCAGCAGCAACAGCATCATCATCTCATCATCATCATCGTCATCATCATCATCATCACCATCATCATCATCATCACCATCATCATCATCACCATCATCTCCGCAATCATGACAAACAACAGCGTCATCATCGGAGCACGTTAGCGTGAGCCCGTGGATCGGGTTCATCGCAAGCGCCCAAGCCTCAGAGAAAAGAGAGACTAGTCGGGCAGTCTCGTAATCACTTGTAGCCGAACCCTGGGAAATCAAACGAATGGTTTAGGATGGTGTGGGGGACGCTGCCTGTGCAAGAACACATACCAAGAATCCGCATGAATTTGTGGTGCACACGCTGTACATCGCTATTTTCAGAACCCGCCTAAGGTAGGTTTGAATTCCGAGACCAGGCGCAAAGAAGCCCTAAAACCGCACAGCCTAGTCCTGCACCCCCGCAGACTAGAACCTAAACCCTATAAACCCTAGAACCATAGGCTTCCGGTCACAAGTCAAACGAGGCAGGTGCAGTCCACCACATCACCCGGGGCAGCCACAACGACAGCCAAAGGTCCTGCAAGCGCTTAGTTTGGCTCGGCTTCGGGTTCAAGGGATCTTCGGTTCTCTGGATCTTTAGGGTTTAGGGTTTAGAGTTTAAGTTTAGGCTTTAACCCCAAAAATCCCACAGCCCGAAGCCCTACAACCCTGAAGATCCAGCACCTGAACCCTCAAACCGCAAACTCGAAGCCTCGGAGCCGCCAATGCCGGAATACACGGTATGATAACGGCAAAGAAATGAATAACATAACAACTATTCCTGCTAGTAATTACCATGTAACAAAATACAGAAGGAGAATGAACACAACGAAAACGAACAAAATAATAATGAACACCGTAAAGACACACTAACAACAACAAATAAACCCTAAACCCTAAAACCCTAAACCCTAAACCCTAATAACAAACACATCCATAAACAACAACCATTAATAACAACAACAATAATAACAACTACAAAAACCAAGAACATCATAATGATAAGAGTTATCACAATAACAAGAATTCAATAATGTAAGCATGCCGACTCGTCCGTCCTTCCTTCGTTTCTTTCAAGAGAGCTGTCGTTTCGTGTAAGGTTCAACTGCTTTAGGGCTTGGGGTTGACGGGTTTAGGGGTTTGGGGTTTAGGAACTCATGGGTTTTGATTTAGGGGTTGTTGTGCTTGGGGAGTTTAGGGCTTTGTAGGGCTTGAGAGCTTGGGCTTTACAAGTTCAGCAAAATCTTAGCAAGACTCTGCTAGCCGTTGTAGAGGTTCGAAGTAGGAGTGTCAGATGCTAAGGCAAAGAACATGGCATTAGTATGAGAAGTAGTACTAGTATTGATATTAGAAGAATGTACCTCTGTAAGATAAGCCCGGAATCTCCTAACCCCAGAGCAGCCACGAACCTGCAACCACCCAACTTCCTAACGTACACACCCCGTGGCATTGCATCCTAGAATCTGAAACACACATCGAATCCCCGGGGTGTAGGGAAGGCTACATGTGAGATTGATCATAGCTGAAACTTCTCCAAGATTGGGTTTTGAGTTTCGGGCTGTGAAGGGCCATGTTTACAAAACGGCTCAGAAAGAAAGCTTTTAAGTGTCGCAAACCGCAGGGATGTCCCTTGGAGCTGCTTGACTTGAGCGCAAAAGCTATGTAGTAGAATAGGATTTTGCGGAGCCTTATGCAAGTTGTTAAAAATCAGGAACCCCAAATGCTAATGTCGGCAATTATTCCGATCCCTACATTAGTCAGTGAATGCAACAGTCTGCAACAGCTGTCTACTGCACAGCCGAAACCCTCTGAAGAGCTGCCGAAACCGCGCTGCGCTGCCTTCAAAGACCGGACCAATTCGGACGAGCGCCCCTGCAATCAGCAAGAAATGTTCATGCGTCCTAGTTGCTTTTCCAAGGGGGTGCATCCCTAACCCTTAACCCTAAACCCAGTGGCTCATAGCCCTTCTTGTATCATACATCCAGTGCCAGTTTTGCCATCGATTTACCCTACAAGGCTGCAACAGAGACCCAGAAAAGTGAGTGCAAACAGTGATCCTTGGGAATTCTGGTGTGTGTCCATGGATGGGGTGTGATAATGGGCCCTCTCGCTCAAAAACCGGAAAGCTCAACAGTATGGCAGGCGTAGAGATGCAAGATGATCACATTCTCAATCAACTTCCGGTGGCTTCTTGGCAGAGTCGTGGAGTCTAAACCCCAAACCCAGACTGCCAGTCAAAGCTTAAACCCTAATATAGGGGCCTTCATAATGAAAAGAGGGTTTGGGGTATCTTATACTATAATGATAATAAGGAATCTCCAAAACCCTATTCCAATTATTAAGGCCCCTACATTACACCAAAACGCCTGGGGGGAATGCTTGCAACTCTCCTGGCCAAGTCTGCCCACAGGGGTGGAGCACAGGGGTCATGTAAGGGCCTAAATAATTACCAATACTAGTTTGGGGGTTCCTTTATTTTATTTATAGTATAATGAGCTATATTATTTGTGCATATCGGGTGTCTTGTCCAATGTAGTTGCTGTACTACATTGGGATTGTGGGGCTAGAGTTCATTAATCAGGTTCTTACAGTCTCATCTATGTTCTAGGGTCTCAGCATCTAGAACATTAGATGCCGGGTCTAGGGAGGAATACCCGGAAGCTGAGACTCAACCCCCAGAAATCCCTCAACCCCTCACGATGCAAGGCTCCTTAATGCAGTCGTCTCTCCCACCCTAAGCCCGAAAAATCGTAAGCCCAAAAGCCTAAGCCTCAAAGCCGAAACCTTCAAAACCCAAAGCCCTAAGCCCTAAACCCTAAACCCTGAACCCCAAACCCAAAACCCTAAGCCACTCCAAGCCTCCGAAGCTGTCTTGGGAGTTATCAAATGCTGCTCCTGAGCAGAGTTTCGGAAGGGAGGTGCATGAATGTTGCCAGGTTCAGGGTTCAGGGTTTAGGGGTTCAGGGTTTAGGGTTTAGGGCTTCCTGTGTCAGGACGAATATATGGAACTCATAGAAAGGATTCCCAAGCAAGTAGGTTGTTCAGGGTTCAGGCAGGGTTTTGGGGCTGCCGAGCAATTCCTAGCACTTTCTCTACATGAACATGCAGACTGACATTACTCTTACGAGTAGGATTGAGGGCTTAGCGTTCATTACCGTTTCTACCATCAAGTTGCGTGTGTCAAGCACGCGTTGCTGCCAGCATAAACACGCCTTTGGGCATACTGGCCATAACCAGCACTGTCGATACTAACAGGATCATGGCACTTAGCACTTAGGGTAACCCAAATAGGGAATTTATAAACTTACTTCGTAAGTCCCTTGATCCTCCAAGCAGTGTTGATTTCCTTCATCTTATCACTCTTGCCAGGACTATGCGCCAATTGAGTACGAAGACGATAGGGGCCTTGATAACTGGGGAAAGGTGTGGTTTTGTGGTATGTTAAAGTAAAGCCATAGTAAGGAGCCCTATCAATCAAACAAGAATGCTGCTAAGCTGCTAGGTAATATAGGGACCTTAATAATTTCAAGAGGGTTTTGGCGCTCACGATACTATAATTACAACAAAGAACCCCCCGAACTAATGTTGGTAATTATTTCGGCCCCTAAGTTCTGCAGGCTTCTGTACAGGAAATACTCGTGATCTTGGGTTGCTGTCTTCACCCCCTGAAGCTACTAAAGTAGGGGCCTTAATCACGAGAATGGGGCTTTGCCAGCACGAGCCGTTCGATACCATATATAGCGACGAATAGCCGTATAGCGACGACCCGCCGTATGGTGACGAGTCGGGGCCTTTGTTGAGCTAGCATCTGGTTGAGCCAAAATAACTATACGCTCTATCTCTCTCTATCTCCCTGTGTTTTCTGCTCACATCCTGATTTGAAAAAAAAAATTCCGGCCTTGCTAAACATTACAAACCCTCTAAACTAGGGGTTGGTCGTGGGTGCTTCGTTTTGGTTTGGGGTCATTGTCCCAATTTCTTCTTAAATATTCTATCGGGCTTATAGGGTTTAGGGTACAAAAACTGGGTTAGGACCTTGAGCTCGGATCGTTTTGTTCGAGGTTCTCCAGGTTAACTGGCTGCATGGGGGCTTATAAGCTGAGCGAAGAAAACCGCTTTTCCTCCCTGCTCATGCAAGCCGATATGGGAATGAGAACTGAAGAGACCACTTCAATATGACGTGTCGACTCAAGTGATTCGGATGGCTGGCGATTGCCAGCTGCTTGATCCTCCTTCCTCGCCCATGCACTATAGCGAGGATTAAGTCTGTGCTCACACATAAAGTCCATCACTTCGTGCTCCAGCATATGTTGCTTGGGCCTCCCCTTCCAGCCAGGACCTGGGCCAAGGCCATTGAAGCCAGTCGATCATAAGAGGCCCTATACAGATAGTAAGCAGACTCGCAAAAGCGGCATTGGTCTTCTGTGAAGTAACGGCCATTCTGCATCTGAGTCTGCTCAAAGTGCATGAGCCCAGTCACCACACCGAGAATGAGCCTCGGACATGGTCTCCTGCTAGTACAAACATAGTATTTATTAGCGCAAATATAGCATTTTATAACAAGGAGCCCTATGGAAGAATTTTGGAAGTTATTTGGGCTTCTATGTTAAACCTAGAATCCAAAATCTGAAACCCGCCACTAGGCCCACAGATGCTACAACCCGGAATATCAGAAAACATAGACCCTAGATCCTACTCCTTAAGTCCTGAGCTCTAAACCGCAAACCTTGAACCCCGTAAGCCCTAAACCCTAAGCCCTAAACCCAAAACCCCATGGCAGCAAGGAAGAAAGAGCAACCCTAAACCCTAAATCATCAGCTCCAAACCTAAACACTAAATCCTTAACCCTCAACCCCTAAATCCGAAACTCCAAAACCTAATGCAGGGGCCTTCGAAAAGGAACCCTAAGGAATAATATTACCGAAGCAAGCCCCAGCCCAGGGATGCGGCGAGCGTGTTGGCGATGGCCTCGGAACCGTGTCGGTCTCTGAGTGTGGCAGCGCAGTTGGCTTCCGGTTTACGGTGTAGGGTTTCGGGTTAAGCGGAAGCGTTTAAGTGGAAAAAACACAAAGTAATGAGTCTCACTAGTACGCATTAGCATCCCTCTCATCTGAACTACCTACTGCATGCGGCACTGATTTCTGAACCCTAAACCCTATTTCTGAGCTCTAATTCCAGAGCCTGGTTGCTCAAAGCAAATCAGAGCTCAAAGGCGCGAATCTCTTGAACTAAGCCTTGCAGAAAACCTCCCGAACTCAAAACAATAACGCTTCGCTACTCCGTCTCATAATCTATACAGCTTCATGACAGCTCTGTGTTCAGTGCACAAAACCCCAAACATACCCTAAACCCTAAACCCTAAACCCCAAACCCCTAAATTCCCCTAAACCCTAATACGTCACCATGGTAATGGGCCTCTGACACCACGCTCTCCGTGCACATTTTGCTCGCGCCCTAAACCCCTAAATCTTCAACCCTCATCCCTCAGCCCTAAGCCCTAAATCCTAAAGCCTAAACCCGACCTCCTCAACCCTAAACCCTAAATCCAAAACCCGAACTCCTCAACCCTAAACCCTAAACCCTAACTCCTAAACCCGAAATCCTCAACCCTAAACCCTAAATCCTAAACCCGAAATCCTCAACCCTAAACCCTAAACCCTAAGCCCTAAATCCTAGAGCTTGGTCATCCAACCCAATGAGCTCTCCTGGGTACTCGCCAAGCTACATTGGACGTTGGCGTTGAACATGCTTGCCTGGGGAGAGACTTTGCTTCGGTTTGGGGGGTCTAGGGTTTAGGGCTTAGGGCCTCGGTTTTAGAGTTTGGGGCTTAGGGTTTAGGGTTTGGGGACATCACGCACTGGAGCTGTGAACCACTTTCGAACCTGTTGCCCTTGAGGGCTCAGGGAGGTTGCATGTTGGTTCCGTAGTGGGGAACCGGCACACTGCCAGAGCGCACTCTGTTTACGAATGCTTTTACTGGCTCATCTAGGCGAACGTGACCCGGTCAGCATCTTACACGAAGCTCCTTGCACATCGCGCTCGCACGCGAAAAAAGCAAAAGTAGTGACAGGCGTAACAGAAACTGCGATATTCATACGAACACCTCTGCTGACAAGGACAGGAGTTGACATGGACAACAGCAAGGCTGACAACGAGCCAAGACGCATTCCAATAACACTCATCACCTGAGTCGTAGGGCGACAAAGCATGGCGACAGCGTGAGGCTTGACCGTGACAACCTTAAAACAACAAGGCTGCAGCATGCAGCTTTTCGTTCTCACGCAACCCTAAACCCTAAACCATGTGATTCAAACTCCCTCGTTGCCAGGAGGAGGAGTCTCGCCTTGCGACATCATCGACTGCCTGAGCAGCGGCCTTGCTCTTCAGTATTGCGGCTGAAGGTGCCTTCATACAACTGGGAAGTGCAAGAAGTATAGTTACAAGAGGGAGCCGGAAGGAATAGTAAGTAATTACCCTGAACCCTAAACCCCTTAAGCCCTAAACCCTGTTACCCTAAACCCTAAACCCTAAATCCTAAACCCCTTAAGCCCTAAACCCTGCTACCCTAAAGCCTGAAAAAGACAGGGACTTCTCAAGGCTGGGATCTCCTGTAAGCCCTGAGCCAAAAGCCCCAAACCCCCATAGCCCTAAACTCCAAACCCGAAGCCCTAAACCCCAAACCCTAATAGCCCTAAACCCCAAACCCGAAGCCCTAAAACTCCAAAGCCGAAGCCCTAAACCCCAAACCCTCATAGCCCTAAACCCAAACCCGAAGAACTATAAGCCCCAAACCCAAACCCGAAGCCCCAAACCCGAAGAACTAAACCTAAACCCCAAACCCTAAGCCCTAAAACCCCAAACCCCAAACCCGAAGCCCCAAAACCCTAATAGCGCTAAATCCAAGCCCGAAGAACTAAACCCTAAACCCTACAAGCCCTAAACCCAAACCCGAAGAACTATACCCTAAGCCCTAAACCCCAAACTCTAAACCCAAAGCCCTAAACCCCAACCCGAAGAACTCTACCCTAAACCCTAAACCCCAAACCCCAAACCCTAAATCCTAAACCCTAAACCCAAACCCGAAGAACTAAACCCTAAACCCTAATAGCCCTAAACCCAAACCCTAAGCCCTAAACCCCAAACCCTACTAGCCCTAAACCCCAAACCTGAAACCCGAAGCCCTGAACGCTAAGCCCTAAACCCCAAACCCTAAACCCCAAACCCTAAACCCGAAACCCCCAAACCCTAATAGCGCTAAATCCAAACCCGAAGCCCTAAGCCCCAAACCCTAATCGCCCTAAACCCAAACCCGAAGCCCTAAACCCAAACCCCAAACCCCAAACCCCAAACCCTAAACCCTAAACCCTAAACCCCAAGCCGTAATCGCCCTAAGCCCTAACCCGAAGAACTCTACCCTAAACCCTAAGCCCTAAACCCCAAACCCTAAACCCTATACCCTAACCCCTAAACCCTAAACCCTATACCCTAAACCGGCTCCAGGGATGCCTCACCCGCGTCGCAGGGAGGCAGGCTGCACAGACCAGGGAAACGACCTCTGCTCTAAGCCAGGGCCATAGGGTTTAGGGTTTAGGGTTTAAGGGTTTTGGGGTTTAGGGCTCAGGGTTACTTAAAGGATCATGGGACTTCGTAGGTAGGGTTATAACTAGGGTAACTATACTTATAACCCCAACTAAGGGACTTATAACCTTACTTACTAAGTCGACCCGGGCCTTTTCTTCAAAAGGATTGGGGCTTACGGGTTTAAGGGTTTTGGGGTTTAGGGCTTAAGGGTTTAAGGGTTTGGGGGTTTAAGGGTTTAGGGGTTTAGGGCTTCTTAAGGTTTTAAGGGTTTAAGGGTTCAGGGGTTTAGGGTTGATTCTGTAACATCTCAAGAATCAGAAACTCAGGGTGCTTATACTCCGTCATCATCTTTCCCAGTGCCACATTTGTGGTTGTTCTTCTCCTCCTCGATCATCTTGGCAATCTTGGTCCATCTCTGTCACTTTGTCCTTGACCTTTAAGCCCAATACCCTGGCCCAAAAAAGTTTAAACTTTTCTTTTAGTAGGGGTTTAATATACCGAAAAAAACTGAAAGTTTACCTCTTGGGCTCCTAAGTTGAGAACCAAGTCCAACTTTAGGGTTTGGGGTTGAGGATCAACTTGACACCAAACTACTTCTTCTCCTTCATCAGGACAAAGGTTGTGCCCTCTTCATCTTCGTCTCGGCTTTCACTGATCTCGTCGTTCTTTGGGTAGCTCGCTGCGGTAGGCTTCTCTCTGAACCTTAAACCCCTCAAGGGTCCTTTATCTGCCGAGGCTTGCCCAATATTCGTCGTGTGCCTCCCGAATACGTTGGCTACCCTACTTTACGGCAAACTCCAAAGCGTGCCATACCCCTGAGTCAAGGTATAAATATACTCCTTCACACAGGAAGGTGTTCAACTGAGCCTTACGCAAGTTCAAGATCGAACATCTAAGCTGGAAGGCTTGGGTTTCAGACTTTAGGGCTTTAAGGCCTTAAGGGCTTGGGCTTCAGGTTTTAGATTTTAAGGTTTAGGGTTTTAAGGGTTGTGGTTTGGGGCCCAAGTTTTCCGGCTAGGGTTGAGCTTTTGGGGCTAGACTTTAGGGTTTTAGAGGTTTACAGGTTTGGGTTTAGGGGTTTAAGGGTTTGGGTTTAGGGGTTAGGGGTTTAAAGTTTAGGTTTTGGAGTTTAGGGTTTGGGGTTTTATGGGTCTGGGTGGTAGATTTAGTGCTTGATAGGTTTTGGGTGTAGGTTTGAGGTTGGAGGGTTTCGGGATTTAAGGCTGTGGGGTTTAAGTTTAAGATTTTAGGGTTTTGGGCTTTAATGTTTTTGGGGTTTACGCTTTAGGCCACTTTAGGCTTTAAGGCTCAGGGCTTCAAGAGTTTTGGGGTTCAGGTTAACGGCTTAGGGTTTCTACGAGGCGGCATATCCCTTTGCGCATGGCAGAGTCTTCTATACGAGAGAGCGGAGCCTTTGGAGGCTCCTGCAATGCCCGAAACCCACAGAGGGCGGTTTAGGGGTTTAGGGTTCAGGGGTTTTGGGTTTCGGGTTCTAGGGTCTGGGGTTTAGGGGTTTAGGGTTTAGGGAGGTGGCCAGAAAATGCCAGGGATTTTCTGAACAGACTTTGCAAAAGGAGCGTTTGCCCTGTCCTAAAACGCAGAAGGAACCCCCAAAGCCCACAAGCACCAAGCCCTAACCTAAACGCAGAATCCATGTAAATCCCCAACCCTTAAATACGAAAGCCCTAAACCCTGAACCCTCAACCCTTGAAGCCCCAAAACCGAAATGCAAAGCCAATAAGCCCTGCCTGGCCCCAAGAGGAAATGTCGAAGAGGAGGTTCAAAGGAACACCCGCAGCGTCCTTTAGGGTTTGGGCTTCTTAGGGTTTAGGGTTTAGGGTTTTTAGGGTTTTAGCATTTTAGGGTTTTAGGGTTTTAGGGCTATTGCATTTTAGGGCTTTAGGGTTTTAGGGTTTTAGGGTTCAGGGCCGTTTAGGGTCTGGCTCTTGTTTTCAGCGTTTGGGGTTTAGGATTTTAGGGTTCAGGGTTCAGGCATAGGGTTCACTTGAAACTGTGTGGCGGAGCCGGGATCCTGGTCACTTAGCCGTAGTACTGCGGGCCTTGCATAATGTAGGGGCCTTAGTAATAAGACAGAAAGGACTGTTGCGTGGGTTTAGGGCTTAGGGTTTGGGGTTTTGGGGCGCATTATACTATAATGATAACAAGGAAACCCCAAAATAATATAGGTAAATATTTAGGCCCCTATATTGGACACATCCATCCATACACGCACGCGCAAACACACATGCAGGTATGTGTAGAGGTATAGAAGTACCCTGTCTCTTCATGTGCATATGCAAATGAAGCATGACAGCTGATTATCTTTGAGGCCTCTTTGGATCATGAGATAGACAGTAGCTTCTCTTGTAGAACTTAGGGTTTAGGGCTTCGGACCGTGTCGGGGCGAAAGATCCAACCCTTATCCCCAGCCAGGCACACCCGAGCCCCGCCAACTCCAAACCCTTGCACTCCGCGCAGAACCCTAGAACCTTCAAGTCCTATGCTTTGTACTTTTTAATATATACTATATACGGTGTGTGTGTGTATATATATATATATATATTCATATTCATATTTGTATATACTATACGATTTATGCTATATGCTATATACTTTCCACTAGACTAAAGCGCCTGTTGAATCCTGAATGCCCTGGGAGGTGTAGACTGAGCGAGGGGTCGGAGACAGAACTGCCCGAGCCTAATGTAGGGGCCTGAATAAGGGTTTAGGGTTTAGGGTTTGGGGTTTAGGGTTTAGGGTTTTGGGTGGGTTGGGTTTCTAGGATTCAAAGGTTTGGAGGCTGATTTACCAATACTATTTTGGGGGTTCCTTAACATAAGTATATGTAGTTTAATGGGCCCCAAAATCCAATTCTAATTGTTAAGGCCCCTCAACCTTAAACCCCTATAGTAGCCCCTTTAGGCCCCTTTACCGGAGCCCTGAAAAATCCCTTAAAACCCTATTCTCATTAGTAAGCCCCTATATTAGTCCTGAATCCTAGAACCCCATGGCTCACCCGAAACACTTAAATCATAAATCTTATGACACCAGACCCTAAACCCTAGGCCCTAGCCCTAAACTCGAAACCCCAAAGCGTAAACCACCGAAACCTGAAGCAGAAGAGCTTCCAGCCCTCAAAACAGATGGGTCTGGAGCCCGACAGCCAGTTCAGGGTCTGCTTCGGTACTACTTCTAGCAACGATAACAGTAGTAGGCGTTCATAGCAAGTGTAAGAAGAATCGTAGAGCCTGGGGTCTACTTCGGGTGTAGGGGCTGAGAGCTTAGTGCTCAAAGTTTAGGGCTTAGGGGCTGTAGGGGTTTGAGGGGTTCCGGGTCAAGGGTTCACGGCTTTTACCCTTTAGGGTATGATTTAGGATTTAGGGTTCAGAGTTTAGGGTTTAGGGTTGGTGTTAAGGCTTAGGGCCGGGTATGTCGGGAAGCCCTATGCCAAAGGCCGTGCTTGGGCCCGGTCACGAAGCAACTCACCCAGTGCAGCTGCAAGGCAGTTCGAGAGAAGCATGACCTGGCTTCAGCTTCCAGTCTTTAACTTTAGGGGCTTGGGTTAGGGTTTAGGGTTTAGGGTTTAGGGTCTTAGTTTAGGGTCTTAGGGTTTAGGGTCTTAGGGCTTGGGGTTGAAAGGTGCCCAAAAAGCCCAGAGCTCTCTTTTCATTCGTAAGGGGTCATACGGCTGATGGACAAAATCCTGCATGACCTTATATACCTGAACTATGGGATTTATGGTACTATACTATATTTGGGTCATGCAGAATTTTGTCCATCAACAGTACTGAGATGGTGTATTACTATAAGGGTTTCACATTTGTGACCGAGGAGGAAAGGGCTTTGGGTTCCCTTCCTCGGGCTTCGGGTTCTGGACGTGTGGGGTTCGAGGCTGCCTCAGGCTGTGTCCGAACAATGTAGGGGCCTTATAATGATTAGAACAGGGTTTTGGGGTATATTGTGCTATAATCATAGTAAGGAACCCCCAATATAGGGTAGGTACTTATTCAGGCCTCTATATTAGGGTCTCGCTGCGAAGCAAAGTCGGCAGTTCACAGACATCGAGGCTCATAAACCCGAAACCATGACCCCAATTACTGTTTAATGCTATAGGGCTTAGGGTTTAGGGTTTTCGGTTCAGGGTTTAGGGTCCTGAGCCTCCGCCCCCCGGATTGAATACTCGAACAAGCAGCGTCTTTAGCAGCCGTGGCCTTGAAGCCCTATCCAAATTAGTAATGTAGGAACCTGATTAAGAAACCTTGGGTCTTTGTTAGGGTTCGTAACGCGGATTCTAAAAAATGGGGGTTATAGGGCCAGGGTTTCTTAATCAGGTTCCTACATTCTACCGCAAACTCCTATGTCGTGAGATTCTTGCGGCGCATGCAATGAACATGGTACCGGGCTTCCCTGAACTCCCCAAACGAAGCATCCACATGGAATCCTGTCAGGGTGCTGCGTTGCTTTAGGGCTTTAGGGTTCGTTTCCTTATGGCTGGAAGGCTGTCCAGATGCAAATGATGTATAGCTTTGCGCGAACATGATTGTTCTGAGTTGCCAACGACCCTTAGCTCTGCAAGTAGGGATAAGGTCACTTTGTATGCCAAACGCTGCGCAGGCCTTGCAATCGCTTCAACCTTGAAACCCTCCGAACCGAATACTTAATTCAAGAGGAGTGCGTTTCGTTTGCGATTTAGGGCCTGGGGTTTAGGGGTTTTGGGCTGTGGGTCGGGTTTTGCTATCGGCCACCTACTTCATCCAGCCCCGAACCTGGCTCAATTTTCAAAGCAGCTTTTTGTTTGGGGGCTCTGGGTTCAAAGCTTCAGGTTGAGAATGTAGGGTATCAAAATTTTAAAGTGGCTCAACAACTGCATTTTCCTTCACCGTCCGCTTTGCAGGGTTTGGTTACCACGAATCTGCATCATCCCCCCCTCCGCAAGCCCCTGAAATCTGCTGAACATGAAGCACAAACAATTAAAGTTGAGGGCTAAACGCTTACACTGGGGTACATTAGCATTGGCTGTGACTCCCGGAAGCTTAAACAAACAAACAAATACCTACTGAAATATTGAAATCTAAAACAACGCTGGTACATAGGTTCTAAATTATATGTGTGCATACATTTTCCTATTTCTGTAGGTGTGTATATACACGCCTGCAGGATCCTGAAATCGTAGACCCTGACCCAAAAGGCCCTAAATGCCATCACACGAAAGCGGCAATGCTCCTGCGGCCATGGTCATCTCAAATACTGAATTCGATCTGTTTGCCGCCTAACCTCTGTTTGCGTTTGCATGACAACGCAGTTCACGTAGAGTGAGATCCCAGCACTGTCCAGTTCCAGTTGCAAGCGTCGGTTTTCTTCGAGGAGCCGTTGGTTGCTTGCTGACAACTTCTGCTTTTCTTTTGACAATGACTCCACCAGTTTTGCTACATCTCGGTTGCTGCGGACGAAACTCAACCCCAACCAGTCAGTGACCAAGCTTTGGCATCCCCATATGTTTTTGCTGAAAAACCAAGAACGCTCCCAGCGCATCACAAGCGTAGGTGTACTATTGAGTCCAGCTGTCAAACATTGCGCTCCGAATTTTTACTGTTGGCAAGCGAAGCCAATGCCGAACGAACACACCTCAAGCCCGACACTCTAGGCCCCCGACACCCTGAACATGACTCGAACACCCACAACAACGGAGCCGGCAGAACAGCTTTCAGGGTATGGATGGCCTCCTGAAACTGTGAGGGCAGGGACCTTGAAGTGCCGGCAAGTTGCGTCTTTAGGGACATGCGGGTTTAGGGTCGGGGTTGAAGGTTTGGCAGTTATTGGGTTTAGGGTCGTTAAGACTTGGGATGTGTAGGGTTCTGGGATGCGATTTAAGGTTGAAGAGCTGGGGGAAGGGCACGAACACGCTTGGCAGAGGAGTATAGCCACTGGCTTGTTCCCGTGTCAGCCCAGATTCCTGCAGGAAGTTCCGTAGGCGCAGCAAAGTTTGGGCATAGGAAGCGGGGCTGAAGCCTGACTTGCGAGCTGTGAAAAAGAAGCAGTCCGGGACCACCTGATCACCAAAGCGCTTGCGAAGGTCCTGCCATACTCTATCTAAGTGGAGAAGCCACACGCTGAGCCAGTTCATACCGAACTCACGAGAAGATGAGTGAGCTCCAAAGCCCAAGCAAGCAAAGGGGGCTCCTCGCTTGGTTGTTTTAGTGCGATAGCAAATTCCACGAAGCGTAAAGTGGCTAATGCAGAGTGAGCTCCACAGAATGTGTTGTGCGTCGGAGAAGCGAAGGCTGCCACCCATGCAAGCGAGAAAGCTTCCGGCCCAGATTGCTTCATCCGGGGGAGTTTCCGCGCTGAGTACCTTGCGTTCAAGGAACGCATGGAATGAAAGCGGCAGTGGCAAGCTTTCGCGTTTCTCTCCTGAAAGCGGTTGCACCAAGGAAGAGAAGGCAGCACTGTAGAGATCCGGGAAGGGGGTTAAATCCAGCAGCTTGCGGCACCACCTAAGAAGTGCCTTCGACACATTCTGCGAATTCGAAAGTGGACCCTCCTCAGGACAGCGCGACAAAGCGAAGAAAGCGTCAAGGCAAAGTCCTGCGTCAATGTACCGGATATCACCGCCCAGTTCCTCAAAAGTCGTAAAGATATCTGCACTGATCTGAGGTAACGGGCCGCGGTTGTATCACTGACCTTGGTCAAAAGCTTGCCCCGAAGAACCTCGCCGTGGCTGCTGGAAGCTATCTGATCCAAGACAGGGCTGAGGCAAGCGTGCAATTCACAAAGCTGCTCAAATAGCATACGGTTCCGTTGCGCCAGATCCGAATGAGTATCCAGTGAACGCACAAAGCTGGCCTCCTTGTCGGTTGAGCGAGGGGCCTTGAAGGGTGTTGCCTTAGCCTGGTGGTTCCACCTGAAGTGGTGCTGGTGATGGAGTAGGGCACTGCAATGATGACTCCACAGAGCAAGTAGAAAGCTGGCTTGGGTACTTGGCGTAGCTGTTGGCCTTCGCAAAGGAGGGCATAAGCAGACAATCTGTTCGCCAGGTGACGCACTCCCGCTGCTGTGGTGGAAGTGGTTCCCAATGTGCTTGCTTTCTAAAGACTCGAGCGGAACCCGTGGGCCTTGCGACTGGTTTGGGCTCTGGGGCATCCACCTGAAACGGGGAATTGAATCGCAGGCAAACCTGGGGTCGTTGCCAAGCTTTGGGTTTGGGGGTTGGCTGTAGACCCTTGAACAAAGGAGCTGAAGAGCTACTGTCATCAGGGCCAAAAAGCGCCATAGGTGGGCAAATCTCCTCAGCGTCTGAGATAGATTCTACGTCAAGCTGGGGAGTGTCCTGAGGCACTATCAGCTGCCAGGAGCTGGTCGCCCCCGAGGAGCCCGGAGATTCCTCCATAGGCAGCAAAGTGGTCGTAGACTCAGTGCCGGGGTTAAGCTCCCAACGTTTTCTCAGTTTGCTGCAAGGTGCTACCTCCTCGGGATCTGAAGTGGGAGAGCGAACTCGCACTGAGCCCGGTGCTTCAGAATCAAAAGCTGATGTGAGCTCCTGATAGGGGTCGCTTACCAGTGGTTCGCCTTCACAAGCGGACATCAGAACCAAACTTGCAGACGGGAAGCCGTCTCACCAAGGGTGTCCTTAAGGATGGAGATTAAGGCGCGTATGCGGACAGTAAGTCGCTGAGTTTTCTCCTCCAAAGCAGATATCCTGTCAGTGAGATAAAAAAACCAGCTGCGGCCCTGTTGTAATTCCGCTTCCAAGCGGCTGAGTCTCCCGTGCAAGCAGGAAATTTCCACTCTCTGAGCTGCGCACTCCGCCTGCAAGTCGAAAATTCTATCGCAAAGGCCCCTGTCCAGGCCAGAAAGCGATGCTTGAAGCCGAGGCGAGTGTGGCGCGGGCTCGATGGCCATGCAAGCGGCCGGAGCTACTGAATTTATGCCTAAAGCTGCTGAAAAGTAGTCCTGACAGCTCAAAACGCTAGAGCAATGTGAAAGCTGAAAAAGAAGAGTAAGCTATGCAAAGCTGTGTTGCTGCTGTGGTGTCCCGCTCGAGCTGTAAAGCGGGCGACGGGACAGGACTTCACCAAAACCCTCCTGAGTAAACATCAAACTTACGGACAACAATCACGATAAACGGGATGTAGAACTGTAGAAAAGTCCAGATTTCCAAAAGGCCATCGTCATCTTGCACGTCTACAGGACAGACTACAGCTCGCAGCTCGTGCGAAACCAATACCAGCAGCCCCTTCAAGACTTCCGGCCTAAAGTTTAGGGTTCAACATGAAGCCTAGCTTGGTCTTGTGCGCCATACATTCGAAGCGAAAAGTGTGATACAACTTCGTGGTTAAACGTTGGTAGTCCTGACAGCATGTTTCAAACACACACGGTGCTATCGTCGACATTATTGCCATGCCAGCGATGCCGGCAACAATGCAACCACTCTTTGAGGTCCTGTGGAGGTTCAGGCACGTACGCATTTAGAGCAAGCGCTGTGACTCCTGTGAACTCTCCCTTGAGCGCCTCCAGCGTTCGAAGAGAAACCGTGCCGTACTAAAGGGGCCTTAATTTTAGGTGTTTTTAAAAGCCCGGTAC